ATATAAAGATTTTTTTAACTTGCACACCTTCTGCTCACTACCTTTGGCACAGAAACCTGGAGGTTGAGTCATGTAAACCTCTTCCTCTAGGTCACCATTCAAGAATGCATTCTTGATATCCAACTGATGAAGTTCCCAATCAAGGTTAGCTKYYAGTGAGAGGAGGATTCTGATTGAATTCATCTTGGCTACTGGAGCAAAGGTCTCTGCATAGTCTGCTCCATACACTTGTGTAAACCCTTTGGCCACCAATCTACCCTTGTATCTTTCTACTGAACCATCAGCTCTATGCTTTACTGTGAATACCCACTTGCAACCCACTAGTTCCTTCCCTTCAAGAAGATCCACTAACTCCCAGGTGCCATTTTTGTGTAAGGCATTAATTTCTTCCTTCATTGCATCTGTCCATTCAAATTTGGATAAAGCTTCTACCACATTCTTAGGAATAGAGACATTGTCAATAGAGGAAAGGAATGCACGGTATGAARGTGAAATATGATCATAGGACACAGTGAGAGATATGATGATTAGTAGTACAAGATCTAACACCATTTCTCTTATTAAGAACATCAAGATCATTAACAACAGGAGGATCAATGTTAAGAGATTCAGGCATATCAATGGGAACAAGTGTACCTGGCCGATGAGGAGGATCTACCTCTGGAGAGTCCGATGATATCGGTTGCATAGTTTCAAGTTCCACGGCTCTTGAACTCTATTGGCTCTTATGGCGGCGAAAAAAGACCCGAAATGGAGAAGGGTCGGGAAGATGAGGTAATTGAACCTGAGTGTGTTTCTCCTCAACCCTACTCTCCCCCTGAGGAGAAACCAAGAAGAAGGGTTGACTCTCAAAGAATGATACATCCATGGAGACATAGTACTTGCGTAAAGCAGGATCTTAGCAGCGGTAACCCTTTTGAGATAACGGATAACCAAGAAAAACACAAGGAGTGGCAAGGGGATCGAGTTTACCGCGAGTAGAAGACAAGTCATGAATGAAGCAACGACACCCAAAGACACGCATTAGAATGGGGGACAACGAAGCTATAGGAAACAAGAGTTGATGTGGTGCCTTATACTCTAGTAACCGAGATGGCATACAGTTGATGATATATGCAGCACACATAACAACATCCATCTAAAAACGTTTCAGAACATTCATATGAAATAATAAACCACAAGCTACCTCAAGTGGATGACGATTTTTCCTTTCAGCAACACCGTTTTGTTGAGGTGTCATGGCACAAGAGCTTTGATGAAGAGATCCACACGAAGCAAAGAACTCCGCGAGATCACTATGGAAGTACGCTTTTGCATTGTTCGAGTGGAAAATGTGAATTTTAGTTTGAAATTGAGTGAAAACCATTCGTTGAAAGTTTTTTCACAGTCTTTGGCACTTCATCTCTAGATCGCATAGGATACACCCAAGTATATCTAGAGTAGTCATCGATCAAAGTAATGAAATATTTATATCCAGTCTCAGTAGGTAGAGAAATAGGGCCCCAAACATCAGAATAGACAATATGAAAAGGAAATTCAGATCTTTTATTTCTTAAAGGAAAGGAATTTCTACAATGTTTGCTCAATTGGCATGTATGACACTGCAATTTACTAACAAACAAAGACTTAAACAACTCAGGAAACATAAGTTTTAAAGACTCAAATGAAAGGTGACCAAGACGATTATGCCACACGTAGGCATGCCTCTCACTAGAAGAATTTAAAGACTTTGTAGCTACAAGACCAGCTTTATTCTCCAACATGTAGAGGCCATCCACCATGCTTCCTCTACCAATCATCTTCCCCGAGGTCAAATCCTGAAATACACACAAAGAAGGAGAAAAGGTCACTGAACATTCAAGGAATGAGTAATACTGCTAATGGAAAGTAAATTGATAGGTAATTTAGGAACATGCAACACATTAGAGAGGGTAAGACCAAGAGGAAGGGAGATGGTTCCTTGACCGGCTATGGTTGGATAAGACCCATTAGCCAGTCTCACCTTATCTCTCCTAGAGAGGAGGTTATATGCTTGAAATAAATTTGACTTACCAGTCATATGGTTTGAGGCTCCAGAGTCAATTATCCAAAGGGAATCAGATGTATGAGATGACACATGGAAGGCAGTGGCAGTGTTACTTGATGTAGACGCAAAGGAGGTAGGAGTAGGGCCAAAATCCATCTGGCAAAGTGTCCTACCATATAATTCCAAGTGGTCACGAAAGGAGTTGATGATCTCTTCCTTGGGGTCAGAACTAGAGTGTCACTCTTGGGGTACCATGGAAATAGTCTCTTGAGATGCCACATTTGCTGAGTTATATTTCTTCTGACTCTGCTAGGTTGGCTTCTTACTCAGATCAGACTTCTTACTCAATTCCTAAGCCCAATTTGTCTTGCCATGAAGATCCCAACATGTGTCTCTAGTGTTCCTGGACTTTTGACTATGAGTGCACCAAAGTTTGTCTTTGTCATCCACTCTCTTCTATGAATCTCCCTTTTTAAAAGAACCTCCAACATTTGAACTTGTACCCCCTCAGACAGTTAGTGCAATCAGTTCCCCTTCTGTACATTTCATCACACTTCTTCTGCTCTCTTCAGACTGAACTAGGGCATAAACTTCTTGGACTGAAGGTAGGTTCTTACTTCCTAAGATTTGTACCCTCATGGATTCATATGTAGGATTCAGCCCCAAAAGAAAGGCAAAAACCCATTGTTGGGAAACAAGTGATTTGTAGGCCTTTGCATCCTCATCACA